AAAAAAAACAAAAAAAAAAAAACAAAAGTTCATAACCTCATTCCGGACTGAGAAAGATATATAATAAGGTTGGCACCACCCCAAAACAAAGCAGAAAACCACCTCGAAATGCAGTTTCTCGCCCTAAGTATAAAAAATTTAACTAATAACAATACGGAATTCATTCTGTAACCAGGAAACGCATAACAAAATCACTTATATACACAAGACAGACAAAATCATGTGTGCACGCTATGATATTGAAACAAAAAAGAACCGGGAGCCGACTTTGCCAGCAAATCCTCGAGTATAGACTGCTCCTCGTGCGTCCAATCTAGCGACAGGCCGGGATTGTGGCGGAGAGCCACTTGTGTGGGTCCCGCCACGGGGTTGTCCGCTGAGACGCCGCCGGCGCCATTCCCATTCTCTCTACCGCCGCCGTTACTCTTTCCGCCATTAGTACTGCCGTTGCAAGCGTTGCTATGGCCGCCTGATGACGGGTTGGCACTCGCAGCCATCATATAAACTCAATAAACGACGAAATCTACAAATTCAAGAAAATCTGAAAAATTCAGGAATCGGGTAAGATTTCCAACTGCGTTTTACTGGACAATTGAATTGATAATCCCAAATGGGTTCACACAAAGTAAGCGAAAGAAAACGTTGATTATGAGAGAGAGATAGAAAATGGTTTTCAGATAAACATGGAAAAAGAGAATCGGTTTCGCATCGGCGGTTAGGTTTGTCCTTTTTGTATCGGCGAATATATCATTATTATTATTATTATTAATGTTATAAAAATTTAATTAAAATCCATAAAAATGGAGAATTTTAAGATTAGACGGTTGCTCAATAAATCGTCTTGTTCGTCCAGGTATGGCCACCGGACGGGATGGCCCGGCGATCTCGGCCCATTGCCATGGGTTTTGGATCACAAGAATTATTTAGGGCGTGGTGAATGAAATCGGTTTTGATTAAATTTATTAGTTAAAGTGAATTACTCCCTATGTTTCAAATTATAAGTCGTTTTGACTTTTTCGGTACATTCACTTTGTTATGTATCTAAATAATAATCCCTCTATCCCTCTATATATAAATACAGAACGCGCTGAGCCTACGTAGCTATTTCTGGTGCTTCGGAATCCTATGTGACAAAATTATATGTTTCGTTATTAAGTTTGGGTAAATTTTAATTTAATTCCAAACCAAAAATAATTAGGTTCGGATTACCATATATATGTTGATTATTAATGGTCATGTTATATGTATTAATTGTATTTTAATATCATTTCTTATTATAACTATTGAATTGTATATATGTTTTAAAAGTTAATAACTTTTGCATTTTTTATCAGTTTTACATATGTAATATGTCAAATTAATCTTCTTTTGATGAGTTTCGATTTAACATCAATATTGTATGTATAAAAAAAATAATTTTTATTTATCTTTATAACAATAATAAAATTATTATTAATATTAATTAGAAAAATAAAATTATTTATTAACTAATATGAATAATGTTCTCCTACCCACGGTGGACACATGTTAATATGTCCACCGCTTATGTGGCATGCACACATGGTGATGTATTTTTTTTAAGATATTAACATCACCAATGTGTGCATGTCACATAAACGGTGGGTATATTAACATGTGCCCACCGTGGGTAGCTGATCATTATTGTAACTAATATATTTATATTTCAAGTAGTTATATGATATAAGTTATAAAAACTAATATAATATAACATATGTAAGTCATAAGTAACACATATCATTCTAAAATATATAGTAATATATTTTTTTTTAAAAAAAAGTAAACTAAATTTAATATAGTCTTCTCATTAATTTTAAAATTTAAGAATGATTTATCAACAATCACCCGTGTAATACACGGGTGTTGTACTAGTATGTCTAGATACATAACAAAATTGATGAATCAAAAAAGTCAAAAGACTTATAATTTAAAACGGATGGAGTATTTTATTGCATAAGTGGATGATTGAGTGGGATCTTGAATTTTTATTATAATAGTAAGTATTTGAATGTAATTATTAATATTTATGTGATGTAAAAATAAGAAAAAGATTATTGAAAATGATATATAATTACAAATATGCAAGTGAATGAATAGTGAATTAAATTTCAATAAAGTGTGATGAGATTGATTGTCATTTTTTTTTCCAAACATATAAATTTTATTACCACACCAAAACAATGTACAAACTCAATCAATAGATTGGACTCATTACAAACCCTCCACAAAATACAATACAAAAGCTTAAGGGGGATTACCATAACCAGCAATCCCTACTCTAAACAAAACAACAATAAACATCTATACAATACATACAAAAAGGAGTCCAAATAAACTACAGAGGACCAAAAGCCGCCAAGCTACATCTATATCTAATTAATTACATACCAGAGGAACAAAAATCTTGAACTAAGACTTCCATTCTTCCAGTCCAAACAGAAGCAATGACAGCTACAGCACTGGCACAAAGCTTTGCCGGTTTGCCCTACCTTTGCAGTCATTCTCCTTAGGCTCCTCCCACTACTCCTATGCTCCCTCATTCCTTTCATTAACAGATGTATATTCTCTCCAATCCTTCATTGCCCCATCTGCTACCTACTTTTCATCCAGCCATATTTTTTGAAAAACACAATTGTTTCTTGTACACCACAGCCACCATAGTAAGTAAGTAGTCAGCTCAATTCTCTTTTTTCTACAGTTTCCTCTATCCATCAACATCAGAGCAGCCCACCATTTCCTGAAGTCATCTTCTTTTATCTTGCAATCCATCTCAACAAAGGCCAGAAATTTTCCAGATCCTCTTAGTTCTTGTACAAGTAAACAGTATGTGTTCTAAGGTTTCTACCTCCTCCCCACATTGTTGGCAAATAAGGTCTACTTCCATACCTCTCTTCACCAGTTGCTTTTTCACACCCACATACATGTGCCAACATTTCCACACAAACATCTTTATTTTGCTTTTTACCTTTAGTGCCCAAGTTTTCCTCCATATTCTCTTCTTCATAGCTTCACTGCCACTACCTTTAGTACCATCCTTCTGGGAAGTTATCTTGTTCACCAGGAAGTTATACACATGTTTGACTAAGTAATGGCCTTTTGGACAATTCTTCCACCCCATTTGATCCTTCTTCTCTTTAACAGGTGGTCTAAGCTTTAGAATTTCCTCAGCTTCAAATGGTAAGAATGTTTATTTTATAAGCTCCTCATCCCAGCCACCACCATCTCTTCTACAGAGGTCACTCACAGTCTTCAAGACATGTTTGTCTCTTTCATAGCAGCGGAATGGATTATTTAAAGGAGAATTCATGATCCAGTTTGAGTTCCATATATCAATGTTACTGCCATCACCTATTCTATAGCCCAGCCCCAATTTCAAAACATACCTCACTTTTAACCAAGATTTCCAAAGCCAAGAATCAAAATTTTTAGGGGGAACTTCAAAAAATTTTGATTTGGGAAATATTTGCCTTTCATCACCCTACTCATCAGGAGGTTGGGTTGATAAAATCACTCTCCAAAGTTGTTTAACTATTAGAGCATCATTAAAACAAGAGAAATTTCTAAACCCCAGCCCCCCTCTATCATTAGACAAAACTAATTTTTTCCCACTCAGCCCAGTGGATTCTTCTCTTCCCCTCACCATTGTTTCCCCACCAAAAATCAGCAATCACTTTACAAATAGATAAGCAAATCCCTACTGGTAATTTAAAGCAAGACATAATATATACAGGTAAAGCTCCCAAGACAGATTTAACTAAAATATCCCTCCCCGCATCACTCAAAAACCTATTTTTTCAATTTGACGCTCTAGAGAAAACACAATTTGACACAAATTTGAAAGTATCCAATTTGGTTCTTCCAAAACCTAAGAGCATCCCCAGGTATTTAGAAGATGACACCACTTGGACCCCTCCAAATAGTTGGCAGATGTAGTCCCTCGAATCCACATGAGTGTTCTTAGAAAAAATAATTGAAGATTTAGAGAGATTGATTACCTGACCAGAAGCTTTGCCATAGGAAAACAAAATAGAGTGCAAAACATCAGCATTTTGTCTGTTAGCCTTACAAAAGACAATAGAATCATAAGCAAAAAGAAGAAGAGAAATATCATGAGAATGGGGACCTATTTTAATACCATTGAGAATGGAATTTTTACAAGCTTGATCAAGAGAAAAAGACAAGGCTTCTGCAATGATCAAAAACAGGTAGGGAGAAAGAGGGTCTCCCTGCCTTAAGCCTCTGGAAGGTTTAACAAAGCCCTTTAGTTGACCATTAATATTAAATGAGAACGAAAAAGAGTTTAAGCAACCAAAAATCCAAAAGATGAAAGTTCTAGAGAACCCTAGTTTTTCCAACATCAGAATAATGAAATCCCATTCCACTCGGTCATACGCTTTAGACATATCAAGTTTTACAGCAAAGAAAGTATTTTTTTCCTTTCTTCTTACTATTCAGAAAATGGATACACTCATTAGCTAAAAATGACATTGTCCAAAATCTGTCTACCCGTGACCAAAGCTGATTGGTTTTGAGAAATACAAAATGGGAGGACTTCCTTTAGTCTATTAAGATAGAGTCTTATACATAACCGTACAAAGACTAATAGGCCTAAAGTCAGCCACTCTGAGAGGGTTCAAAATTTTTGGGATCAAGGAAATCACAGTATGGTTAATTTTATGAGGAATGCAACTTTTTTGGAAAAAATTATAAATAGCGTCACAAAAATCAGATTTAATAATAGCCAGCAAGACTGGAAAAAAAAAGGAGGTCATACCATCGATACCCGGGGCTTTGCTGGAATTCATCTCCATAAGAGCCTTATTTATCTCTTCTTCATCTACAACTTTTGTCAACTCTTGATTCATCTGGTCTGTAATCACCCTCTGAAACCCTTCAAGATTGAGATCATCCACTTTTATGTTCTGAGGATGTGAATATTTTTAAAACACTTCACTATTTCACCTAGAATTTCATTTTCTCCCTCACATTTTGTCCCATTATCTTTGATCAACATCTCAGTGTTGTTCTTCCTTCTCTGATCTTTGACACAAGCATAGAAATTCTGTCCCCTTGTTTTAACCATTTGACTCTCGACTTCTGTCTCCAATATTCTTCCTCCTCCTCATAAGTCTTATGAAGTTTCTTTTTAATCTCCACCCATTTTCCCATTCTTTACTGCTACCCTGATTTAACATTGCAGCAAGTTGAGAATTGTAGCTGTCTATAAGCAGGGCTGAGCTTGAAATTTGAGATACCCTCCAACCCAAAAGTGCCATCCTTGTGTTTCTGATTTTGCATATTATCATGATTGTCATTATTTGATCATAGTAATATTAATGAAGAAAGTTTAGTTGGATAACAATTGAGTTGAATTTTGAGTTAAATACTGTAAAAAAAAATATCGATCAGTCAAAAAACGATTGTATTTTGTAGCCAATCACACTTATGATTCACATGGTTTAGACCAATATGAAAACTAACA